ACGAAATTAAATATATTTCATTTCATCATCATAAAACGAATGAAAAAATGGAAAATGTCAATCAGCTATAAATATCGAATATAACATAAAATAATATTATAATTATTTTATCGGAGTTTCATGTCTTTGCGATCGATTTTTTACCAAATTACAAAAATAAAAAAAAATAAACGATTTCAGAAACATCTTAGTTCCGTAAATGTTTTTATTTGCTAACATTTTATATCAGTTTTACCCCATTATTAAGAAAATGACAAGAAAAATAATAATCATCAGAATATATTATCTAGACAAAATTTGATGCCAAAAATTATCCCTAAAGTATACCGATTGAATGAGCATCATTTCTGATCAAAAGGCAGTTGAAAGAGACGAAACCAAAGAAAAACACATTTAAAATTATTTATAGTAAACCAACCTATAATAAAAATGCATTCCACGGTTTTTATACCATCATAATTTTTGTCTTCTTCACGGCCTGACACTCACGGTGAACGTACAAACGAAGATCCAGACGTTTTTCATTACAGTTCGACAGAAAACTTCAAAATCTTTCGGATGACACGACATCGTTAAATCGTATGACGAGCACATTCCGATTTCAAAATCCGATCGCTTTAGCCGACATGACGTGACATGACGTTCCGTCGGTTATACAATATTCCGTGTTATTCTTTGTTTAACCGTTGACTTTCGACAGTAAGCGCGAAAACGTGGGCTAAGCTCTCTCGAAAGAAGACAAAACACATACCTATACACGATAATGGCCGTTCTAAATAGTTTACCGTGGATTTGACTTAAACGTCAGCATGCCCGGAGGAAGCCAGAGTGGATAAACAATCCGAAAAGCGGTTTTCCCTATTGTGTATGTATAGGTGTGTATGTATAGGTGTGTGTGCGTATGTGTGTGTGTGTGTATGTGTGTGTGTGTGTGTGTGTGTGTGTGTGTGCGCGCATGTGTTCGTATTTCCCGTTTTCCCGGTTTTGGCCACGACCGAAACCCCAATGCCACACCCGTATCCCTCCAGTACCCTCCTACCTGCCCCGTCGCCACTTTCATAAACCGAAAATTGTATGTTAATCGCACGCTGGCTAACCGACTCGTTACACCTACGAGTATCTAGGTAATAATATACGACTCAGTCGTCGTTTTTCATTACATTCTGTCATCCATATTTATACATTTTAAATATCCACGGTCAAAACACAGAAATACATAAATATATTAAACATGTATGTGTACAAAGTGATTTTATTATTATAATCCAGCAATTATTTCAAATGATTTGAATTGAATTTGATTTCTGTGTTGTTTATAATCATTATTATTTTAAATTATTTATCCCTAACCTATAACACATTAAGTGAGTTTATACTTTTGTTATTCAAATAGGAACTACCTTTTGAATACAGATTCGAATAAAACTAATAAATTATAGTTAGTAAATAACATTTCTAATAAAGATGATATTTGTCTAGATATTTTGATATGCATAACACCATAATATAATATCAGATTTATTGTTTATGAGATGTAACCATTTAAAATTTAAACTGAAGGAGTAGGAAAAGTTGTTCATTCATCGATTAAAAATAAATATGAAATTGATTAGAGCAGGGGTAAAAATTAAAAATAGTTTTAAAATAAAGCTTAACCGATTACACAATGATTAAAAAAAAAAAAATAGAAATCAAATTTACTTAAAATCCTGCTAGAAAACTGCTGGTTCATGATAAAAAAAAAAATCACCCGTAAATTGACACTTATATTTGTGTTTCTGTGTTTTGATTATATATGTTTAACATATTGATGCGGCTTTCCTATGATATATACGTTATGTTGCAACCATAGAGCCACGTTTAACGTGAGAAGGGGGGCGGGCAGTGGGCAGTTATACTTTATGGCAATTATTTTTATTATCTTTTATAGTTTCATATTAGATAAATGAGCCATGATATCTTTATTAACTCTAACCACAAACAATAATAAAAATACCTACATATATAAAATTACAAAAAACAGACGTGTATTCAAAGCAAGTGAAGTTTTTTTTTTTTTATACCGTTCTAATTTCCTTGAACTATCATCGATATACATTTTTTTTAAAAAAAACCTTTTTACAGGTATTTTAAGAATTCTGACAATGTTGTTTTTATTAGTTTTTTACCGTTTTATAGATACTATTTTTTAATTTAAAATTAAATTTTATAAATTTTCATTGAAAAAATATATACATTATAGTTCATACAAAATTTAAATTATGCTATTAAAATTTACCTTCATGTGCACATTTTATTGTATGCGTACTTGTAACTGATTAAAATTGAATGTGCTCATTTATGCGCAGTTTAAAATAAAATAAACTGAAACGTAGTATGATGAAAAATACTACAGGTAAATTCAGTTAATAATAATACAAGAATAATTGTATCAGACCAATCGACTAATGGGTAAGAGTATAGGCAGTATATTAGTACAATATGATACGAAGATACCATTTTATTATCCTTCATAATTAGGATTTTGTGTATGATAAATATGCATTTCAATCCACTGCGCACTGTCATTGGAATTAATATTTCAAAATCATTTTAATTACGATTATATCCTAATAATTTATTTGCTTTAAAATAAGCAAATAATTTCAATATGTATTTAAATGTTAATATCCCGTCAGTACGAGTACATAACTGATTCGTAAAATTATACGGGAAATCAAATACGCAATACCTCTGATGCGTACAGCCAATATTGACATTTGAGACTATAATAGTAAATAATATGCTGGCCTCAGTCGAACACTTGACCGACTATAAGTGGTCCGGAAGGATTTACGACCACGAGGATATTATAATGGGTGGATATTAGGTACGTTACACAATACACACACCGTGAATAAGTGAAACTATAAGTTTAAATATTATAAATAATACCTACTTATACATCGTACCGTTCAAAATATAGACATATTAATAAATCAACTGTTCTTTCCATATCATTCTTTCTCCTCTGTCCAATGATGTTCGTGAAAAATATTGAGCGCGAAGGATAACAATAGTTAATGGCAATCATGAATGGCATTTTAGATTTGATTAAAATAATTTTCAATGGTAACCAAAATAAATATTCGAATACATACAACGAATGATGTTTAGAATATGAATAGGTACTGTATATACAACAATTGTGTTTTCAAAATATTCCGAATGCTTTACGGATGTTTTCCAGAATATTTTAGGAATACTTGTTAAAAAAAAATGCATGTTTAAGTGCAGATGACTTAATAAGGAACTAGATACTGTAGATGTAGGTATAGGTACTATATGACGATAGGAATGATAGGCATTTATAATATATATTATTTATAAACTGTTAAGAATTTCTAAAAAAAATGTGTAAAATGAAGTATCGTTAGGTGGAAATTAGGCATATTTTAAAGTCATTGTGAACAAATTAAAATATTTTTACTAAACAAAAAAGTGTTTACGATAAAATAAAGCACAAAAAACTAAACATTTATACTTTAAAACGAGATTGATAAAGAGTAGTGTTTTTTTTTTATATACATAATAAAAGCCTATTTTTATATTCTGAGTTTATCGGAGGTTAGGTTAGGTTAGTCTGTGTTTACAAAGATGTTTTAATTATTTTTCTTTATTTTTTATGTGAACACTTTTTCCACCAGAAAACTTATTTAGATTATACGATGTAAACTCTTTTCTGAAATTAAACTTTCTCTGAATGGTACTTAAAATAGGTCATTTTTTGATTTTCCGGCCGGTTAGGTTAGGTTTTCCCCAAAAAAAGATAAAGTGAGAAAAAACTGAAAAATTTACGAAATATGTTAGTAAAATATTATGATTTTTTTTTTTCTGTGGACATATTTTCTTCCAGCAATTTTGCTCCAATAGTCCGGTTTACAATGATAGCACTTTTCCTGAAAAAAATTGGACTGAGGAGGTATTTTTTGGAAGGATAATCATTTCTCGATTTTCCAACGTGTTTTCCCAGAAAATGTGAAAAACCGAAAGAAACATGAGAAACTCCTGAAAAACATAGAAGAAACGAAAAAATTAGTACAATATTAAATAAAATATATAATATCTATTAATTAAATAGGTAAGAGAGTAGTTAAAAAGGTAAATAAATTAATATGACATACATATTATTGACAAAGCATTACTATCAACTGAACTCTACTCAGAATCGTTTTTAGTAAGCAATGGTTATCGTTGTTTACAGATACAAATTAATTTCCTCTCTATATTCTACCTTCTCATCTATTCACCAACAAAATGGCTGCACCCATCGTGCGAAGTTTATCCATTTTTTTATAACTATTCGGATTACAGTATCAAATACTTCTGGAATAAAGGAACTTTTTAAATATTCGGAATACTTCAAATGTCTGGGAAGCACTTCTATATTTGTAGTATGCCGTGAAATTAATAGGTTGAAAATCCAGGTGAGATGCAGATAGGTGTTACATTCAGCCATTTCCTTGTGGACCAGAATCATTAGGACAATACGACATGGCATTGCAACACACTACAACTATAAAGTAGCCTAACCCAGTTTATTGTCCTTGCGCATGCGTAAAATCAATGACTACGTTCCGTCTAGATGTACAAGGTCTATGATATCCGTTGTTCATATCTAGCTGATAGATTAGGTAGATAAGTAATGCCAATCGTATAGTGTTATTAGAAATTAAGAATCATTTGTTCCACGACTAGCCTCTAACCTCTAACTAGTATCTACTCTTTCTTTTACTTGATATCGGTTTATCGTTTTCTTAGCATAGCCATTTATTAATAATGTGTCTATATCTATTATATTAGAAAGGTATACCTAATATACCATTAAAAAATGTGCGCTACTAAACTCGTTATTTATAATCTCTTTGAATCGATCTCGTCAGTATTTTTTAATACACAACAGTATATATTTATGGCTCACTGTGAAATGTTGTTTCCTGAAACTTATTTAACGTGACTGCAGAAGCTATTATAAATCTCGAAACACATGCACGCGCGAAATCAAATTCTTGGACTTTGGAGGGGCTATTTTATATACTATCGTCTGTACACAGAATCGAATTCGGCACCCTCGGGACCACGTATAATTTATCGCGAACTCGACCGACTCGACTGTCCGAATTATATTTTTAAACTTTATACTTTTCTAATCTCGAGTTTCGCCGGTTTCACGACTTTATCGTTGTGGATTACGATAATAATACGATAAGGTTTCTCCTCGTTTATATATATAACAAATGTATTTACTCGTGTTATAATATACATTAATTTTATGTTTGAATATAAAAGTTAAAGTATTTTTTTTGAACTTTAGACATAATATAAAATTATGATTTAATAAGGTATATAATAATATGATATTCATTTTTTTTTTCATTTAAATAGCTGATAACAATCTGATTAATTAAATTATAATAAAAATGAAGTGTACACTTAATATCGTATAAAAAAAGGTTTGAAAAAGAACTATTATTTTGTAAAATCGCATATTATGTTCAAATCGGCTTAAAGAAATACACAAAAAAAATGTTTGAATACCAGAAATACCTATTTAATACATTTTGATGAAATATGAATATTTATTCGGATTCAATTATTATTTGGCGTACCAAGTTCATTTTTATACAAGCAATACTAAACATAAATATAAATAAATTTATATGTATTATTTATATGTATAATATAGTATAATATAGTACATATGTATTTCAAAAAGCCATTTTAATAAAAAGCCATAATTGTTTTTGTTTTTATCCAAAATTGTAAAATACTGAGAAGAAAATACGTTTTATTGAATGTCGGCGATTTTTAAATCTTTTTTCGTTCTTAATTTTTCACGATACACGCATTTTTTCTCAAACTTTAAATAATTCAATCTATTCATAGAAGCATTTTGACCATAATTGGTAAACTGGAATGGTACAAAAAATGTATTTAGTGGTCTAGTGCTATGACAAGAGACCAGGAAATTTAAGCTCGAAAGTAATTCAGGACAATAAACTTGTTCATTTAGTTTTAAAACGAAACAGATGTCTATCCTTTTCCTGCGTATCGCCAACGGTACAATTGGTAAAAAGAAATAATAACGGATATTAAAAAGAGTGAGGTCGACGTTAAATGTTGCAGTTAAATGACAAAAATCTTAAAATCAATTTTGTAACGACTCTGTTGTTTTTACCAACCCTACTAGGTGACCAAATTATAGAGTTGTAATCCAAAATCGATCGTATAAATGAGCAATCAAATGCTTTTAATGTATATGGGTTATTAAAACTTGTACAACTTTGATTTATAAAACCAAGCATAGAAGAAGATTTTTTTTTTTGGTTATTAAAATAATGTTCATCAAAAATTATACCAAGATCATTGTTCTTATAAATGCATGTGAGTTCAGAGTCATTTAAATAGTAGTTATAAAGATATGGTGTCTGTATATTTGAGAAAGTTAATACTTTGCTCCTAAAAATATTTAAAAGTAAACTGATCTGGTTATACAAATCATAGAGAATGTTTATTTAATTTTGGGGTAGCTCAGCATCATTTCGGGTCCTTATGATACGAAATAATTTTAAATCATCACAAAGAGTAACATACGTGAATGAGTAAATTTAATATCGTTGATGAATATGTTAAATAATAATGGTGTAATATGAGACCTTTGAGTGATACCGGAACATACATTATACTGACTTAAGCAAAAGTTTTTAATTATAACATATTGTTTTCTACCAATTAAAAAAGATACTAACCACAAATGAAAAGTATTGCATAAGCCTAGGCGGTATAATTTGGTGATAAGAATATTATGGTCAATTTTGTCGAATGCTTTCGAGAATTCGGTATAGATAACATCCACTTGGTGTCCTGCTTTAAATGCATTTAATACATATCGTTGAAATACCAACATAGTTTATACCTTCCGGTCGTGAATTCTAAAGCTCGATAATTCTAAAAATATGAACCACATCATTAATATTAAAAACAATGAAATCAAATATATTGCTACTGAACGTAAAACTATGTCATTTATAAGATGGTGACAGTAGAGATGGCCGGTGTGATTTCTTCTAAAGTATCTATTATAATTAATAAAATTACATTATAAACTGAATAAAATGTGTTTGGCTTTATGACATTTCGTTTGAACGTAAATGGATTATTCATATGTTTTAGAATTTTAATATTATTATTTGTTTGCGATGTTGCAAACGTAGTTAAACATTATTTGTAGTAGCAAAACCCTGGAAGTTTGTGGAGTAAATAATTTGAATATCACATCATTAGAGTAGTGTTGTACGTGTACTTGAACTATGCGTTAGTAGATTTTTATTTTCCTACTTATCAATATAGTTGTCTACAAGTTTGAATAAAATATAACGAATTAGTGACGGGCGAGGGGAACGCATAACGCATTAAATTGTATTTATTTATTTGTATAGTTTATTAATTTCCTTCACAAATACTCGGTTTTATTAAGAATGGAAGCGAATAGGGAAAGGTAACAGATTTTATAATCATCTAATCATAAGAATATTTCCGTAATCTAAATTTTAAACTTTTTTAACATGTAATAATGGTATTTTGTCGAATATTAATTAGTGTTATCAATGGTGTGCCCAAGAAAATTTAATGGGAATATGTGGTAAATAATAACTACGATTCGTTAATAAATTTTAGAATTTTCTTCTGTTACACATTACGTCAATTTTCATTTGATGAAAATTGGCTATTTCTTTGTGATTTAACTAAAATATATAATTTCAAGATAAAACATATCTAAATATTATAAAATACTATAAAATATATTTTTTATATTATTAAACGAAAAGGGAGAGGAAAAAATCTCTTTATTTCCTTATAGCGAAAGTTACTGAGTGTTATGCATATACCCAAATATTTAGACAATAAAGAATTTCCTTTTTGGATCTTTATTGAAAAAGCGAAAAATTTAAAACGTTGACATTCAATGCGTTTATCGTGTACAGAATTGGTAGTGATTCAATTTATTTTTAAAATAAGATCGTCAAACGAATAAATCAATTTTGGTTTTATGTCAATCACTTTACCTTTGATTCTAGGGAATACATTTAATTTTGTTTCCGTTTATTTTTGTTCTAAATAGCATAAGTTTGTGTATTTTCAAAATTTAATTTGCTAGTATTAAAAACTACACAATTGATTTAAGCAGATATCAAACACAATATCGTAATGACTAATGACTAAACTAAAATCAAAATCAATTTTACTCAAAATCTTCGTATATAGATAATTTCCGAATAACCTGTGATAAACATAATTGTCCTGTAAAAAAATAGGTTTACCTATGCAACGATTTTGATAAATTATTAGTTTTTATGGGTATAATTATTATAGTTATTATATTTAAACCTGTATGGAACATCAAAAATACGATCAAAGACGTCAAGCACGATTCTCCAGTTGGAATTATATATAAAAAAAAAAAAAAAAAATCATAACTTAAATAGTTTACATTTAGAAGAGTAAATATTCAATGTACTTCACTGAATTAAGTATACTGAACAAAATGTACGTCAGACACGACGATATTATTTAAAATCGCATCACACACGATTCTTGAGTGTCTACAAAGTGTAAAAAATCATAAAATTTAAATAAATATTTAGTTCTAGTAGTGTACGTTAACACATCCATCTGGTTCAAGTATTCGACATGTATAAAACATAGTGTGGAGATTTTTGTCAAACAATCTGAATACGCATAGGATCGAAAAACCATAGCCGCGGTATCATTTTAATGATGGGTTTTAACTTTAATCACAATATTATGCGCCGTGGTATATAAAATCATAATCAAGTTTGCACCAAAACCACCGGTAAACTTTTACAATAACCCGAGGCTTTAAATTTAATGAATTAAAATAGTACGCACCACATATGCGTACAGGTATAGCACGTGCGTTTATACGATGTTTTATCGTAATGCTCAACTAAAATACAACTAGTAGATATAGTATACCCATCAATAGTCATCATATTATATTTTCGTGTACCTACGCTACATAAACATCTGTATGTTTTGAATAATTATTTTATAATTATAATTATTCATTTTCATTGAGCGCGAAAAGATAAAAAAGAACTGCCATCTCAAACGACGATAATAATAATTATATATCATACTTACTACCTGACAACAAATATAAAAGACGACATAGAGTTTATACTTTATGTAACTGTTAGTATTTTACTGCAGATCTATAATTAATAACAACTGGAGGAAGTCAGTTCAAAACACAGACAGGTGGCAAAGTGTACAGTAACGGCAGTGTAAACGCTTAGAGAGTAATCGTGCCATCATTTTCGTACTACGAAATTTTTTAACGAACATTTAATACTGGTCGAATGATTATTTTAATATTTTAATTTTTTTATCAATATAATATTTTAATATTTAACCTCATTTATTTTAATTTTATTTATAAATAAGATTTTAAAAATGAAACTATACAAGAAATCATTCTTAATTAATATACTTATTTGTTTTATAAAACGTAATACAGATTATTTTGCTTTTAACTCAATCCCAGCAGAGGGCCACAAACGCGGAATTGTGGCATGCACAAAGGCATTATTTATTTACGCTATAATTATAAAAGGTTTTTTTTTTTTTTTTTTGAATTTATCCGATACGAATAAAACAATTATTTTGTTTTAATAACAGTATACGCCAACTCCATTTTAATAATAATAATAACTGTTAACCAAACCCTAGTATTATTATTATTATTATTATTGTTGCATATAATATGAAGGACAAGAAAATAATAATAATATTCTTATCCGTAAGTAATATAATAGCAATTACTTGAAATTCTAAGCGACTCGTTTGGAGAAAATACTACGCTATTTCTACGTCAAAGGATTATTTCAACCCCTTCATCGCAGCCACCATCTCATCGCCGTGCACGCTGCACGAAACCCTAAATGATCAGTATGCAAGTTAATCTCTACGGTATAATACGTAACGTATATACTGTCATATCGCGACGAAACAACTGTCCTTTTGATATAAAATAATATTCGATTCTGAGTAAAATGTGAAGTGCATTAGTTTATCTATGTTTAAATTCACAGCAATGAATCGGTTGGTTTTACTATGATGTGTGTATTTTTTTTCTATTTGTAAACAATTTTTCTAAAAAAAAACTTTGTCCGATGTATCAAGTTAGCATTTTGGTCAACCTTAGAGGTTATTTTTTGATTTTCATCATAAGTTGTTTTTATAATAATCGGGAAACTGGGAAACTGGGAATAGTAAAAAATAAACAAATTTACGACGTACGATTTCATTATTTTAAATTTGTATGCACGCTGTTTTCTACTAGAATTATTACTCCAATAAAAAAAACTACAAGAGAATTGTTTTATTGAAATTCTATTCTAATAGAATCTATTCTAGTTGGTGAAAAAGATATTCGTTTTTTTTTTCTGTAATTTTACTAATAATTGAGCAAAACCAAAAAAAAAAAAAACGTAGTAGAAAGAAAGGAGAAATTTACGGAAAAAATATTTTTATTTTTTTTTAATTCACTTAAAATATTCACAAAGACATGATATTTGACAGAAAAAAACTTTGATAGAAAATGTATATTTACTTTTTCTGGACGGAGTACAATTTTCAAAACATTTGAGCCATTTTTAAGCTACTTATAGACATTTAAATTTTGCGGGTTTTAAGTAATTTTTATCTAGTAAGTACTCTATGGATAAAACTGTTTGACCAAATAAAAATGTTTAACAATTTAACAGGGTACTTATTATGCGTCGTAATTAGTGGTTAAAATAAAAAAATTAAGTGTAATGTCGTTTTTTTTTCATAAGAGTTTTAATATCAAATTTGGACGATATTCTTAAATATTACGGCTTTCCAAATATGTATAAACGAACTTCGCTTCGAATCGCTTTTCGTTGTGTATATTTATAAATACAATTTCTCTACTTATTTATACTCATTTCCAATTTCCCTCCTAAAAAAGTTGCACAAGTTTCGTCAGTATCGGGTTTTTTTAAAATAAATGTGTTCTTTCTCATCGGGAACTTGAGATATTAAAGTTCTGTATCCAAAGAACCAATGGAACCCCGTGAGTTTGCTTTTTTATTATAATTTTATACTGTCTATAAGCTTTATATATAAATATACATTGATGTTTTTCTACCTACATACGCATATTAGTCTCCATGTTTTTGAATAATGTTTCCACCTCTGTGACGGTTTATTAAAATGCAGATTTGCGGTTTGTTTACAGTGTACCTACCAACGAAACGTAATTGAATAAAAAATCATTTTTTCGTCAATCTTATAAATTATCAATAATATTATTATTACTGTTGAACGAAAAAAATTTGCGTCCAAAAATTGTTGATTGAATTGACATAAATTTCAGCAAATTAATATATATTTTATAAAAAATATTAATTCAAATATAATTAATCGTATTTAATCGAGATAATCTAGGAAACTCGAATTCAGAGAGACTTGTCCTGTAGTAGCGTACATATGACTTGTATACCGTATCATTGGCGAACTATTTCTTTGTGAAGATATTTTTTTAAAATCAATATACAAAATTGTTTACATCATGTAAAAATAAAACACTCATGAGTAGCAGAGCTCCGTCACTAGATTCAAATTTTCCTCCAGCCGACTATTGTCGCTGTTAAATATTAATTTTTTTTTTTTATGAATTTATTATAAAATATTTATGATTGACAGAGTTTTATTACATTTTACTTTAATTCGGTATTAAAAATCCGGTATTCCCTATAAAATATAAGATTTGAGCATACGAATGATTTGGGAGGAGGACTGGTATTTGAAAACCACAAAAGGCTCATCCTTGGTACTTGCTCTATGCGTATACGGAATTGCATAACCCTAACTTCGTTTGGGGATGTGTGTTTAGAGGTGTACAAAGCTAAAGAAACACACTCCTCTTGCAGCAACATAGAAAAATACATATATATAAATATTGAAATTAAACCAAAATTGTATTACCTACTTCAATCAAAGGCTCGCTCCAATAGATTTAACTCAATCAATTAAATTTCTTAACGTTAAAAAAAAAAATGATTAGCTCAAAATGATTTTTTTTTAAATAAAATCGGACGTATTTAATAAACGAACTATTTTATTATTTTATTAAATATGTTTGTAGTGTTAGAAAATCGTATTTATTTTATTTGTTTTTAAATGATTTTTTAACGTTTTTAAGTACTTTTTTGTGTATTTTAAAAGCATATTCTCTAATTATATATAACAAGCAAAACACAATGCAACATTCTATATTTTAGAAAAAATTAGACAGCACAACAATTTGGAAGGGAAGGATCAGACCACCGAATTCCTCTACTCGTGTATATACGTCTCTGCCACTTAAAAAGTGTATTTTTTTTTCTTCCCAGTTAATATTATTATGATTTTGGGGTCAGAACGGAATATTATTTATGAGATACTACTTACTCACAACCTATATTGTATAATATTATAATAGTGCATTGTATTCAGGCGGTTGTCTTCACTCTTATCTAATTAAAAGCGTGTCAAGTCCACATAAAGTTATTATGTCCGTGTCGTGTATACGGTATAAGTGCATCAACAACAAACTTTCGGATAGATAGGTCGGTCCCGGCGAGTGTGTTAAGCTACCCGCACACTATAATTATAATAACAATAATAATAATATGAGTATAATATCACAAACGTTAATTATTTTCACGGTAGTTTTTAATTAGCCCGCGAACAATTTCTAACGGTTTTCCATATCACGCGTAAATTGTCGTCACTTTAATTACGTCCGAAACTTTTCCGGGGGAAATATTATAAAATGTAAAACGTTGACCGTGTTATGTTTTGTTTTCGTCTCGTCTCCTCTCGATATTTTTCTTGTAAATAAATAAACTTTTTATTAATATGTACACCTAAACCTGCCTAGACGCATACCCGTTAACCCGTCATTATTGTCGTTTACAATATTATCAATAGAAACTTTATTAAAAAGAGGCTGATGCTGCTGGTGGGTATGCCACTGTTTAAGGAAGGAAGTTAATAGGAAGAATACAGTATAAAGTAGTTTAATTTATATCTATAATCAACGATAAACTCTTGCTAATGAAACACGATTCCATGTAGAGCGTAATAACATTATGGACAAAAATATAAAACTAATAAATCATATCCAAGTTAATCCTTTTAACAAATATAATACAATAAATATCTAGTTTTTTCCATATATTTAAGAAAACTACACGGAAAATCAAAAAACTACCTTATTAATGTACCAAAAATACTACAAAAAAGTTCCTACTCCGTTTTTGATTGAAATTGTGATTCGATAGAAATTATTTTGACACACACACACACAAGAAAAAAATAAAAAAAATACGCAATACTGTAAAACCAATACATTTATCGTTTTATTTAAAATCAAATTTATTACCTAGTAATATTTAATTTAAACGGTCTTCAGTTTTGGTATTTTCAATCTGAAAAAATGAATCGCTAAGTGTGGAGAAAAATAATGTCGAGTACTATTTATGTATTTTCATTATTTGTAGTTCGTATTACGAATAGAAAGAAAAAAAAGATAATGATATAAATAATGATTCAAAATATATAATTATAAATCGTATTCAAATATTGCATGACTCGTGGAGTGCTGAGTATTTCTCAGAAGTTATTTTTGCCATAAACATTTTAAATTGGAAATCATTTACCTTTACCGTTTAGTATTTATATTTATAGTATTATAATACACTGATGAGTGAATTTTTACATTTGCACTTAAGTCAAAACGTTTATTTATTTCATTAAAAAAATATATATGAAAAAATAATTGTATTCATACTTAATCTCACTATTTTAGTTAGGAGAATCACTAAAATAAATAATCTTTAATCGAATCCCACGTTTAGCCTTTCTTCCAATTGATTTTTCTCATTCTATGATCATCTTGCACATCCAGTTCTTTTAAAAAACAACACTTTCAACGGACCTAACTTCATTTCTGTTCGGCTGTTCTATAACTTTCCCTGGCCTATCTTATCTACCTATGATTTAGGCACTTCCTTTCTGAAGGCATCTTTTCCGACGTTTGGAAAACATGATCTATTACTCCTATTCTAATATCTGGTATTCTATCGTATGTTTCAAATCATGGAACAATATCCATTCTTCCTCATCTCGCCAAAATCTTTAAGTCAATCATTTACTCTAATATTATGAGAAGTATCAATCATGATATAATTCCTGAAAACCTAGTCTTCCTTTTTTTAAGTACCCCATAAATAGCGGCATTGTTTTATCCTCCTACATTCTGGATAGCTTTGAACCGGATCCTAAGTCGGTGCGATTTTTACTGATTTCGTGAAAGCTTCAGACACTGTTGACAATTGGCTTCGTTCAACAGTCTCGGCATTGGTAATCTTCTTCTCTCCTGGTTTTTGTCTTACTCTACATCCAGAAGACGATTTGCTCATATGAAAAAATATGTCTCCTCCAAATCAATATATTAACTTCTTCTGTCCTTTGGTTTGGACATCTTAGTTCATTTATTTTTACTGTTCATAAATTCCTTTAACGACAATCCAAGATTAATGTTTAAATTCGAACTATACATTCGATGTACTTATAATTAGTCTGTGTTTATCATATAGGTACGCAGATGGGATTGTGTTAGAACGTTTATATTTTGTAACGAAAAGTCTAATTTTATTTAAATAATTATTATCCGAAATTCTAAATAATTTCTTCAGTTATAATAATAGGCAACTTTATCGGGTGTATAAGTTTTGTACTTTTTTTTTTAAAAAAACGAATAAAGTAGGATATTCTTTGGTACATTTTTTTTCTGGCTTTATATAGTTATAATAAAAAATGAAATCCGTGCACAAGATATGCGTTTGAAATATTTAAAAAAAAATAAAAAAAACCGCGTATCTTTTTAATACTAGGTCATTTTTCTTCTTGTCAGCTATATCATCGCGTAACGCTTAACAATGAATCAGAAAAATAATTGTTTTTTTTTTCTTTCATTTTGCGTGTATTTTTTTATTATTATTATTATATATATATATTTTTTTTGTTTCGAATTGGAATGCTCTCTTTATATAAAAATACACTCTTAAAATGAGTTTTTAATAACAATAAAATATATAATGTATATATATATAGTGACATTTTTAATTCATTAAAATAATATCTATAAATCACAAACCATTATTTTATTTAAGGGAAGTTACGACAATTCTATTTAAAAATAAAAAATCGCGTTTCGACAAATTATACCAAACGATTCGAAACGTAGAGAGGGATCCATTGGTTTTACTATTATGTACATTTTGTATTTTTTTTTCTCGCATCCGTGAATAACTTTTTTACCAGAAGACTTGCTCCAATTTATAGAGTGTAGCATTTTTCCTGAAAGGTAATTTTCTCTAGTTGTTGCCGTGGGCATGTAATTTTTAAATATTTAAGGAATTTTCAAAATATTCGGGAAAAGCCTAAAAGAAAATTATAAATGAACCCGCAAATATTTATGGTAAGAATATATAGTAGAAACACACAGAATAATAAAAAAATTAAATTACCTTATACATAGTGAACTACAGTGTTACCCTCATTCTAATAATTCTGTCAATATTAATTTTATTTTTAAATATAATTTTTTTCAATCGGGTTTTGTACGAGGGGAAATATATGTACAGACAAATTAAATTTGTATTTTTTTCCCTTAATTATTCTTCTTCTTCTTTCGTGAAGTTAACAAAACTTATATGCTTATCTTAGACCAGTATTTTATAAAATCGATTTCTCGATATGTCAGTTTATCATGTGGATTATTTCTATCTTCTATATTTTATGGCGCATTCATGCATTTTAGCAGATGACCGTCGTCCTGTAGTTTTCCAAAAACGCATATTTAGTCGGTCCTCAATTATTGAAAAAATAAATAACTTTTTATTTTATAAATTTTTTTTTAAATTTTCAAAATAGCTATTTTGTAAAAGACATTATATTAAAAGAATTGAATGAAACATGCATTCATATTTGATCAATGGGTTTTTTAGTAATAGCCGTTTTAATTTCTAAAAAATTTACGTCAAAACGATTAATTTTTAATAGAATTACACGTTACTTATCTTTTATTGAATATTAATATTGTTTTCTCCCCTATTTTCACCTTCGAACAAAACCCGATTGAATAATAATAAAAAAAAAAAAAATGTAAAATAAAATGAATATTGACAGAGTTATTAGTAAAACATAAACACTGTATAGGACACCTTGTATGTATATTATTTATTTAATTTCTACTTTTTGAAAACTAGGCCGTACAGGGACGACTCACATTTGGGTACCCACGAGTCTAATTAATACAATATAATTTAATCGATAACATAATTTGTGTCTTATATTATTATATACTGTACAAATAAATAATTATAATTACGTATCCCGTACCGTCCCTGTCTGTGGAGCGAATCATATCGGTTTTTTTTTTATGGTAGTGTATCTATACAAGAGTTACCGGGCGGATAATGGTTACGGCCGTTCTCGTCGCGTAACAACGACACGGATTCGATTTCGTCCGGTAGCTCATTGGCATTTTATTGACCTCTATACTACTATACTGTATGGTCCCCGGTGTCCCCAGTACCGTTTTTAACGAGTGAAAAACTAAATGATGTGAGGGCCGGTGTCCGGTATAGAACGTTCAAAATAAACCCATTACGGCAGCAGCCCGAAACTCTATCGAGTGCAAAAAAAAAAAAAAAAAAACCGAAATTGAATCCGTTACAATCGTAGTCCGTCATAAATAGTATAGGTGCACACAAAAATAAAAAACCGAAAAAAGTCAAACCGAAAACCTTTGATAATATGGAGTAAACACATATATCCAGTACTATAGTATTCCTACTATGCTCATTCATATTTAGTTTATTCGTAAATATTAGGTTAATGATTATTGTTATATTCATCTACGTTAAATAATTCACTATGTAATAAAAGTAAAATACTTCAAAATCTTTTCTAATCACGGTTTATAATATAATGACGCGTTACGAAACAATGACTAATATTGTTGGTTTAGACGACGTTAGTTAAAATTATCATTTAACCATCAACTTACTATCGAGTTGTATTGGAAACTTGTTAACTCATTGTTAAATAATTAACTCGCCTATATTTTGATTAGGTAAATTAATTTGTAATTACTAACTAGAACTTTTTTTTGGTGGAAAATGATATCGATGCATTTTGGCTCGATCTAACACAAATTTCTAGTTTTCTCTATACAAGTACCGGTACAAATTTCCGTCTGAAAGTCTGCTCAATATCTGCAGTTTCATGTTTACAATACATGTATGAATCATAATATTATAATGGATCATGAATATTGAATTGGATGTATTTCGAATATTATCACACGCAAAAACCATCAGTAATCGTTACGAAAATATACGGTATATGGTTGGTGTGGTGTAGAAACAGATACATTTTCTACCAAGTATTAAATCGAGTTCAATGTATTTTCCTTATAACAGATGGCATTAAAATTGTATTATTATATTTATTTTTTTCTATAAGTCTTCATCGGTAACAATAATATTATTACAATCAACGCGTACGGTACGTATAATAGTATAATGGATACGTGCCATGTAACAGAATTTGAAATTCCTGAGGACTTTCGTTTTAGATTTTGCAGTTACGGTTGGTCATTTGTACAGCGTAAACGAAATTCCGATGAGTCGGGCGAGGGAAAACGGTTTTGATTAAAAAACTTTAGGGTCGCAGGTGCGAATATCCGGTGGATATTTAGGAAAGGCTGCCGGGTGACTGTCCGGTAGTGTTTTGGCCATTAGCCGGAAAAAGTGCCACGTAATTACTCGGGTCGAACGCGCGTTAAAAATATTTGAGAAATAATGTCGAGCTCAAACGGATTATTATTATTCCGAACAATAATATTTTAGACGGTATATATATATATATATATATATATTTATGTATACGAGGTTGCAGTGTTTGAAAATAGATTTTAAGTTTGATATAAATTTTCTTACCGTTATTATAAAATTACAAATTTTATTCTGGACGGATATTAAGCTACATGGAAAACGTTCTGAATTTGAAAACAATTTGAAATTTCATTTTTGAGATACACGAATAAATTCAATAGTTTTTAATTTCGGGGTAAATAATATGAAAACGGTTTTAAATGGAGATTGACATTATTTCGGACAGTTCGGTTCCCTAATTTCCCGCAGCTCGATGTCAAAAAAAAAAAAAGAAAAAACCCCGGGGAAAATAATAATAATGTCCAATTTAAATTTTGCACTCCGATCGTTTTGGAAACGGTTCACTTTGTGCTAAGACGAAACAAAACGAAACGAATGTGTTGAAAAATGAAACTATTTTGGATTCATTAACTTCTTCTTCTATACACATGACAAATATGTTTTATAAATAATATTATTCATGGCCTGATATAAACGAGTTAAAAAGTTAGTAAACCATTAATTTTATATTACATTAATTCAATAAATAACGATGTACTATTAAATTATATACCACGTTAAATCTATTTCATATATGTATTCACTATTTGAATAAATAATCGTATAAATTATTTAAACATTTATTTTTTTTTACTCAATATTATAGTACGGATATCCGAGTAAAAAATAAGTGTGATATTTGATATTTTCGAGGAATAAACCCTTTAGTGTTTAACAATGACCATCGTTATTTTCAAGAAATCAATAACTTTAGGTTTAATCATGAAAACACTATGGCACTATAATTTTGTACACCAAAAAAAAAAAAAAAAAACTAACCAATTTATTGAACTATTAATTTATTTATCAAGAATATTAAATTTTCAACTTAACTTAGTAAAGTAATAAAAAAAACTATCATTATTAAACGTGTAACCTCGAAAGCTATTTTTTTCTCGATTGACTCAATCTAAACTATTGTTAAAATTATTCATGAACTTGCTCGGCCTTGATATTATTCTCTTTGAACCTTAAATATGTCTATAATTAACTGTGTTTATATAAGTAAATATTTTAAACACCCGTTAGATTTCAAGTTAGACTGCTCAGTTTAAATATTATATTATTGAGGTAAGCTTAAAATAAAAAAATGTGTGTAGGTATACACAATATATTTTAACAAGTTCGATTAATATTCAACGTGATTAAACAAAACCATAAATTTCGGATTAAAACTAAAATAATAATAATAATTTTGTAATTTGCAATTTATTGTCGATTAAAATGCCGAACGTCTATTTGTTTGTAACTGTGGTAATAATTTCGGGTAAATTGCCTTTAAAACGCGAGTTTATGCAGTGTTTTTATTGCGTCGCAACCGTTGATGTTTATTTGCATTAAAATAATATACTAAACTGTGTTTGTGTACTACTCAGAAACTATATATTATACAATAATATTATTGTCTGTATACCAGTTAAATAAACAGTAGGACACCGTTTAATTGTTTAATTTAAAACGTTTGAAACGGTAATAATAATTAGAATAATCGGTAATAATTTTACTATTATTATTATCATCATCAGTGAAATAAATTGCAAATATAATATTCATTTTGAACGTCAGGGACATATTAATTCCATTATCCCGTCAATATGAATGTATTAAAACTTAAACCATAAACATCTGCTTCCTGAAACAATTATAGAATGCAAATATTAACGCAATTAATTACCGGATGGCCGCTAATAATAATTTAATACATTCGACGCATCGTAAATGTGCATTATAATACAACTTGCATCGTGCAAAATGTAATTGATTTCATTATATTCATTGTATTCGTTTATAGAATAATGAATAGAATATAGGATAGGATAAAGAGAGAAGGCCAAGTACGGGTATAAGCAGAAGGAAATTTAAAAAGAAAGCCAAGGCAGTAATATTTAGGAGAGATCGTTTTTCGAGCGCGATTTTCCTAAGATTACCGGTTTTTTTACCAGATACACGCTCACTGGCAACTGTTCGCTGACTTAGTGAGCCTCAAACGGTCAAAACGACCGGACGACCGTCAAAGATTTGTCGACGGCCATACGCGTCGGAATCTACCGGCGATCCATCTGCACAGTATCCGTATATTATCATTATCCCATAAGGTACCGATATATTATTATAACCGGGGCTCGGATTTTATAGCATTTGCTGATTATTATAGGATACACAGGGTCGGACTGACGTCAAAAAGCCCAGCCTGCGATCTGATCAACGAAGGTTAGACTAAAATTGGTTAGCTCCGCTCTTTACTTATCTATTTTTATATTTAAAAAAGATAACAATTATGCGGATCATATAATGAAATTTTATAGTTTAATTTGAGATTTTGTAGATCATATTATAGCGCATATTTCAGTTATTTTCAGTGCTATAAAATCCGAGACTTGATTATAACTACAGCTGGAAAAGTTATGGCCGAAAAAATCTTAAAATTCAAAATAATTCACCTATAAAATGTACGGAGAATGAATACAAAATTGTCGAAAAATAAAAAATAAAATTAATTTGTGTTATTTAAAAATAAACGAAATTAATTTTCGTAACAAAACCAGCTACGTTGAAGTTCAACTTTGAATTTTAAATACATAAACTCCCAAAGACATAATAATAACCATAAAATGCTCTAAAAATAAAAAAATAAAAAATAACAATAAATTAAAGTGTCAACAAATTCGAAATTCAAATTTACATGAAATTTATTTTTGACGGAATAAAACGTGCATAAAAAGCTTTGGAATACAATGTAAAGTTCGTTGAAATCTCAGCCCTAATTGTAACGATATTTCATTTATCATGATCATCTGTTTACCTATAGGTACTTACTAAAATTATGAGTAAAATTGATTCTGGGTTTTTTCGTTTAATGATCTCGTTTCACAATAATTCAACACTTATTTCTTAAGCACAACATAATATAGATACTTGATTTTCTTATAGAAATCCACCGTTTTTAATATTTATTCGAAAAAAATATATTTTCCTAAACGATTCGATATGGCCTAACACAAATATTGGATATACCTACCGTTTATGATTATAATAATTAATTATAATAGTAAACATTTTACGCCGAAGAAGTAGAGGAATATTATCAATTGTTATCTATAAGTGTATATGGAATTGATATGGCCTTTGCTAAATCAAATAAGTTGCTACGTGTTTGTTGGGGCGTGAAATATGGATACAAATTATGAAACACATTCTTTTCACGATTCTACACTATGATATTTTTTTACGAAATCGCCGTATAGACAATTGCTGGATAGTAATTAAAAAAAATAATAATAATAACATCCCCCTGTGACATTTCTATCGATTTGAATGTATAGTATATTAATGTAATATATTATTATATTAGCACTCGATGAAAATGGCCATCGGTGATGATCAATATATTATTATTTATTAATTAATTTTATTCAAACATAACATTTTATACGAGAAAATTATTATTGACCGATTCATAATAAATATGACTAAATGAATTAAATTATTTTTTTTTCGAAATTAAATTTTGATTTGACATATTCCGATTTTGAATTTAGTATTTTTTATTTCTTTATAATTCTGCGTTAAATATTTTTTTATTTTTCTTCTCGTTTGTAATGACTATGTTTCAGGGTTTTTTTCTCTGTGATTATTCCCTTTATGCCCAACCTCTCCCTCACCTTAAAAAAAACCTTTACAATCAGATAAATCAAACCATCCCCTTAATTTGCATGCTTTCTCCAGTTACCAGTGTTACTAGACTCTCCCGCCCCTCCCCCCCCACAATGAGAATATTTCTTATATAAAATATAAAATGGATCTACTTATTCAATCATTTACCATAGATTTTGTAACGCACACACAGTAAGTAAAACTGTATTATACTGGGTGTCCAATTGTCTTGGACAATCAACTTAACTGTTCATTTGGACACATATACATTCTCGAAAATCACCATTCAATGATCATACACAGTGTGTAACGGACGGTCTGTTTAGTCTTCGCAGATATAAACTGTGATTTTCGTAAATGTGAAAATTTGAAAACAATGCAATTACTTGTACAATTGTATAAGTTTTTTTTTTTTTTTTGTAATTATCACTAGAGTTTCGTTTTATTGACAATGGAATATAAATTACCGGTTTAGTTATGATTTTTTTTTTTCAGTCTGTGCCCAACTCATCTACCAGAAATTTCAAGCCAATTAAAATATGACCAAATTCACTAGATACATGTGTTGAAAAAACAAATCTACGGCAGTAAAAGTTAAATTATTTTAAATATTTACCTACCTTTTCTACACAAAATGTTGTCCCGAATTTCAAGTGCAACATCTTTTATGAAAGAAAATGTCGTATCACTGTATGAGAAGATCCTAATTTACCTTATAATTGTATTATAATTATTTTTTTAATGTTAAATATAAGAATCACAGCGTAAGGCTAATAAGTATATTAATTATTACTTACAAATAATCATAAACAAAGCAAATAGAACAAAAGTCAGTACATTTGTAAGAATTTCGCGATTCGCTCTATATAATATTATATATTTCAGAGAATATTCATCTAAAAGACTGATAATCATCATATTATAGTAATCGATTTCTGTAGTGTTTTCTTATTGTGGCATGAAAAATATATTAAGTTTACTGCAGGACTAATAAAATATTGTATAATATTTTCTTTTTTTTTTTTTATGAGATTAGCGTATTATGAAAATTGTGTGTCAAAAATAAGTGCATTATACTTTTGCAAGTTTTCCGTAATTGAAATTTTATAAGTATATATAATAATTTAAATAACTTATATCCCCACTAAACTAGTGCAGGTTTTTTACGTGTGGGGATACTGTATATAACTTCTTGTTTCTAATAACATTATGTCAAGAAGTGAAAATCAAATTATGTATAGGGATGGAGGAGTTACGTAGAGTTTTATTTTTTATACAACATAAAAACCTGTTATATAGAAAAACCGCAGATTCGACAGAAACTTTCGTAAAAAAAAAGTTCGAATTTCCCCCAAATAAAACTTCTCTCGATATTCTTTACGTATTTTATATTTTTAACTTTTTAAAGTAAGTCAAGATTGAATATGGCAAAAAAAAATATCATTCACGTGCGTTGTTTATAGTGTTTATAAAATGAAGCGGGTCAATGGGGCTATTTTTCAGTAACCAAGTAATGTTTTCAATCGTTTTTTTTTCTCACGTTATAAATCGGTCCTATTATAGCCTTATATCTTTGGCGCCGATTTCAGGTTCTTTCGAAATTCAACCCCCCCCCCTCCTCCCACCTGCTACGAAATCGATCGGTCAGAGTGAATTTTATTATACAGCTTGTTACGCGGTCAAAGTGTACCT